AAAATCACTTTGATTGGGTAGGATTTTTCCATTGGGCAGGAGTCCAACTAAGTTGAATTAAATGGACCGAATTCGGCGATTAGGTTCACAACTTAACCCAACCCAAGCCCATTTGTAAATGGGTTGGGTTTGCTTATCCTTGAACAGAACATCCATAAAGACCAACCCTCCTCATCTACTTGTTTTTAGGGGTTTACATATTCGAGTTGGTCGCAGCAGCAAGCAGAGAACAATGGATAGGAGACAGTTGACGGCAGAAGCGGTGCCGTTGTTCCTGTATCGGTGGTCGGTTCTGCAACTGGCCGTCGAAACGAGTGGGGTGGCCGCGACTCTCGCCGCAAAGCTGAGCTCCTCCTCTCCGATGTCTTCTCCTTGGAAGGGATGCAATACTATCAGCATCAGCCAGAATGATAAGCCAAAATACCCTTGGAAGGGATTTCCAACACAAGTTGATGATTTCAAGACTATTTTTAGCCATCCAATCAGCTGTGAACCTGTCGGGCTCCACCTCCTGGTATTGGTAGTGCCAGTCAGTGATTTTCTTCTTGATGTTCCTATGAGGGTGGTGGCTGGTATTGTTATTGTTAAGTTCTAAAGCCAGAAGGAGAGCAACGCTTAAGGTCCAAAGTTCAGCAAGATCAATGCTGCAATTCTCAAGGAACACGCTAAAACCAGCCATCTAGTTACCATGGATCCAAGAGAAATCGTTGATGATGTTTCTCTTTTTCTGAAAATGATATAATTTAAAATTATCTTGACAATCATGGAATCTCGCAAACTGCAACTAGTGAAGTGCCAAATCAATAACCATGGCAGACTTACCTTGATTTGGTGGAACAGATAATGATGAAGCAGCAATAACAGCTGATTGAACTGATGAGGAAGGATTAGGATTTATCATCCACCCTGCTAAAGCATTAGCACTAGCAGCTGCAGCTGCAGCTGCTGGTGGAAAAGGCTACAATAAACAGAGAGCCATATGAAAAAGGTTGGCATCAGATAATGAACATCCCTGACATCCATTGTCAAAACCATATGAAACATTAATAAGGATCATACTCTACTGTGTGCTCCGAGTGGAGCATAAGTTGTAGGTTTGGCAACTGCTGCTACTGGAAGAGTTACTGGGGTAGGTACACGGGCCCCATTTGGAGGGGAACAGGTGTGGTCCGTAAATAAGGTTTTGATATCTGGATTAGGCCTTGGGTTTTTACACAACTGGTGTTGCCAATTCAAACTACAAACAGAAATCCAAATTCAACTTTGCAAATTATTCATAGTAGGTGTCAATAATATCATCTGAGAAATATTACTTTATCTGCTTATACACATAACGTGGAAGATCAACCATGTGACAATGAAAAAAATTAAAGTTTCACCTCTGATTGATCAAAGCTCGCAAGCGTGATGCCTTCAAAGTAGGGAAAACAAGCTTGTCCCGAAATAGGGGATTGGCTTCTATTAGTTTCTTGAGTTCAACAAGCATTATACTCCGAGCCGATTTAGTATCACCATACTTAGATAATTGCTCATTTTCCCTGCACTAAAACAAAGGTTACAGAACACAATAACTTAAATACATAAACTTCTACATCCCAAATTAGAAACCAATTTCCACAATCCTATAGATAAAAGTTAACTACTTAATTACCTAAAGTTCTCAAGAGTTAAAAGCTGTGTAGTTTCTTTATATAGCTCTTCATTAAATGTCGAAAAAACTTTCAAATCCTTCACTAAAATTTCCACGGCCTTAGCTCTATCATGCCTGAAACGAAACAGAGAAACAAGTCAATAAAGAATTCACCGAAAACCTGCATAAATCATTAAGATAGAAATAAATTGAAATTACCTGTCAAGAGCTTCCAGGTACTTCTGCTTTCGGATTTCAAAGTAAATCTTCATGGAGTACCGATTATCATCGACTTTGGTGAATCCGGAGAGTTACTTCTCAACTTCGTCCCATTCTCCGGCCAGCGCCTTCTCTTCAAAGTACTTCATGTTGAAGAAGAAACCTGACTCTTGCTCTAGCCTGAGCTCCATCAAAACAACACATATATCAATCAAATCGACAATAACATCAACAAAATCACAAGAACTCCAAAATAATAATAATAATAATTTAAAAAGGGGAAAAAAGAAACCGACTTGTGAACGGTCTCCTTGAATTTCTCCTCTTCAAGGAATTGAAGAATCAGAAACACTAGTTCTCTGCTCAACGACGACATTCTTGGTTACTTAAACAATCATTAATTAAACAAAGTTCATCCATAGCACAAAACAACAAATTACAACAGAGATTTCATTGGATTGAAGTGAGCGTGAGTCCCATTTTTTTTCTGTTTTCCTTAGCTGTCTATGTTGTTGTGTTGAAGATATAGGTTTGAGATGGTAAGAGATGCGGCCTGCAGCAACATGTATGGAGAAATTACTTAATTCTAAGGATGCAAATATTAGTCAGCCAAAAAAAAAAAAAAAAGAGGAAAAAGGAAAAATGTTCAAGAAAAATATAAACATATATACCTGGACCGGGCATTAGAAAGTGGACACAGATTGACTAGATTGATATCCAATGGATGACTCAGGATATCCATTCAGGTTCTTGCTCCCTATGAATGAATAATTTAAAAAGGAATTAACATCCAATTAAGGGAGATAGACATCTCATCAGAAGCAAATCAACAGACATATATACCTGAGCTGAGCTGCACATTAGAAACTAGTCAATTGATAATTGAAACTCGTAGAGGCAGAAGGAAATGCTAAACAGAACTATATTCAATAGATACCACAGTGCCGCAGCTGTGAATAATCAAAAAAGGAATTAGCGAGACAAACATCTTATTAGCAAATCACTCAAGATTAACACTTGGATTCATTCAGAAACAAGAGATAGAAACATATATTTATGAAATATCAGTGAGAGAGAAGGAATGCAAGTGATGGAAAAAGGGAGACTAATGAGACTTACCTGAGCTCAATATATTTGAGGAAAGGAAGGAGGACAATCTTATCGTCAGGATTCTCCCACTCCAACGATTCCCACCATTCTTTTGAATCGAAAATATAGATAGATTCGACAGCAGGAAGTGATGGTTGCTCGTTTTCCCTTCCAAGACAAAGGGGAATCCTCTTTACCTTCAGACAGGAATTGATCTTGATGCTATTGAGAGATTCACAAACCATTACTCCTCTTTCGGGGCAGATTCTCTTCAATTCTGGTAGGAATTGCAACTCTAATTTCCTTAATTTTGGAAGAGTGATCAATATTGGAATAGTTGTTTGATTTCCTTCCTCTTCCCATCCTATTATTTCCTCCATCTCCCAACAATTATTCACGTCAATCAGCTCCACGTTTTGGAGGCCCTGACCCTGCAGCAGCTCACATGGAAAAATCTTCTTCAATTTTGAACAATCGCATAGCCTCAGCTCTTTAAGATTGGAAAAGATGTGAGGGGATATTGTTGGTGCAAGCGATGCTCTTGTTTTTTCCACTTTAACAACATTCCGCAAGTTGGGCAAACCCACAAGAGTTAGTGATTCAAGGTTATTCATAACTGTCAAGGAAGTAGATGAAGATGATGACAAAGAGACCACACACCCTATCCCTCCGCAGTATTTCAAAGCACATGTTCGCAATTGAGTCAAATCTTTCTGAAAAATAGAAATATCATTGGCCGCATTGCAGTGTTCAATCCTCAAATCCTGAAGATCATCTGGGAGGACCAACTCATCTTCTTCTCCTATCTCGCATCTGGATAAAATTACCTGTTTAGGAAGATCATTATTCTTGAACTTCCAAAAATGCCCCTCCTCACCTTTGTCCGTGCCTCCCACTTCGATAAAGTAATGACTGGGTCTTCCAAAATGGTTCAACTTGCTAACAAAACTGCTGAAGTCTTTCACCCAATCAAATCTACCTTCAAACCATTCCACCATCTTCAATCCTGCTACTTCTTCTCCTCTTCTTTCAGTTGAAAAAATCCGACGTTTACGTAGGAATTGGAGACGGAAGAGCTTACTGATTTTTCCCCATGGTAGCATCCTCAGGTTGGGACAAGATAAATCAAGATATTCCAGATTTTCTAACATTTCAATGCCTTCAGGAGCCTCACGAAGGCCTGCTCCATCCAAATCCAACTTCTTCAATGCTTTAAGCTTTGACAAGGAAGGCATGCGTTCTAAACTCTCACATCGACAGAGGATCAGTGCAGTGAGATATTCCAAGTTACATATGGAATTAGGTAGAACCTTAATGCCAGTTCTAGAAAGATCAAGAAACTTCAGCAGGGGCATGTTAGCAAAAAAACACTCTAAAATTTGTCTCAATCTGTTATTACCCTCCAAAATCAAGGTTGAGAGCATCAAGCATTTAGGGGACATATTTTCAGGGATATATGATATTTCATTT